CTTCGTCCCACATCGACTGAGAGTCGTCTCCCCCCCTCGCATATAAGCCCTTGCACTCAAAGGAGGAGGTACCCACTAGCGACCTGATCAGGTGCCTAGTGGGTACCTCCTCCTTTGAGTACAAGGGCTTATATGCGAGGGGGGGAGACGACTCTCAGTCGATGTGGGACGAAGTTCCTGCGGGCACTGAGGGATAAAGGCTACTGGGGGGTCGCCCACGTGGGTTAACCCAGGTCAAGCCGAAATCCTTCAAGTGGAGGGATGAGATCCGTAGCGATTTCTACCCCTTACAAAAAGTGAAGTTCCTGCGGGCACTCAGGGGTAAAGGCTACTGGGGGGTCGATTTCTACCCCTTACACTTCTTATTAGTGCATAGATTGATCCTCAGTTGTTTATGATTGAATGAAAATGGTAGAAGATGCAATTTAACATGATGATACGACTATTTATCAGTAACTCTAATAAATGCATGTTTACTTACAAGTTTTTCTTTGGCTTAATGCTTGTATGCATAGGAATCAACACATAACTATGTAGTTTATTTGAGTACACTCGGCGTAATGACTGAAAATATGCACTTATTCTTTATGCTTCCACTTTTGTATTCCAGGCTACTTACGAGAAAGGAACAAATGATGAGATTGAAGAGTTTATTTATCAATTATTAGATGTCAATTGTGACAGTGTGTTGGGGAGGTAAAACAACAAATGTCTACCATCTTTTGTGAGTCAATGAGGTTCCATTTTTAGCCTGATAATTTAATTGAATTAATATTATCAAAAGAAAATTATTTTTTATGCTGATAGCTTTTTAAATATAAGTGGGTAACTAGTCCCATTTTCTTCTGAATGTTGGTAATTAATCTTTTTTTTTTTTATGTAGACCATTTATATCGATTTTGCCCTTTTACATTGAATGGACTTTTACATATCAAGTGTGATGTAATTAGTATAAATGTGTTATTTTATGTCATCATTTGACAGAAAAAAATTAGAGTATATAATTAAAGTGCCCACTCAAAAGAAATTTTCTAACTCTGGCCCTATTTGTTGGTCATTATCTTTCCAAAGTACATGTTTTTCTAGTCCGGAGGTTTAACTGAGCATAACACTTTAGTGAGAATTGACATATGCCTATGTATTTACTTGTCTTCTTGTTGCTCAGCATATGCAGTGCCGCTCCTGTATTATTTAGTCAACAATGTTGTGTTTGAAGTATACACCAAAGATATCCATGATTAGCCATTATCTCCACTAAGCTATTGATGCAGAAATTTTATAAAGGCAGGCTTAAACGACAGCCGTGAACATGCAAACGCCCATCGTGTCCCAAATCACATTCCATGAATCAAAAGGGAAAGCCTAATCATTCATCAGCTCCTCTCATCACTGCAGTTTTATGAAGCATCTAAGCACAATTCACTCGATGGATGCAAGAATTTTATTTATTGCTTGCGGTCGGCAGAAACAATGTTCTCATGAAAAAGTTACCACGCCACTAAAAGAACTCCAATCACCCCCATTTTTATTTTCATCTCTTTCCAATCACCCCATTCCGTGTATGCCACATGAGACAAATAGGGGCCACTTTCAACATTGTATACCTTCTCCTACTGTATGCTTCATTGCCAACCCTTAAAACAACTTTCCTCCAGATTGCAAACTACCCAGTAAAGCTGTAGAAGAGACGACAATGGGGTCCACGTCTATGATGAATGAGAAGATGATCCACTATCTCCCATTCTTTAGATTGTTTTCACACGAAAAAGTATCAAAATTTCCAAAGCACAATTATGCTTGGAGCTTTTTCGGTTAGAATTAACCCAGTGGTCGATATTCCATTCCCCTTAGTCATAGGTGCTAGATGAATTTTGATTTGATTGGGCCAGGTCTCCCGAGGTACATATGGCCGGCCCTTGGGTGTCTTGGTGATACAAACGAATTACAATCACAGCCCTTATCACTTAAAGCCAATCTTTACTGAAGGAGGAAATAGAATTGAATAATCTACCTAATTTTTTCCTTCCCGTTGATTGCCCCCAACAATCTGCTAATGGACTTGGGTTCTTTATAATATGAAATCTAGTTTGCTCACTGACTTTCAAGAAAGTTCTTTGAAAGTAGTTTGCAAGACACTTTTGTTTTTGCTTTCTCAATTTTCATAATATTTGGAGTCAGAATATAGTTTCTGTTTCCAAAGTGATACTGAATTTGCTTCAGCTTATCTTTGATTGGAGAATATTACACATAGTTTTAGATGTAGGTTCTTAATGTTGAAAGTGTTACAAATTTGTTTGCTTTTATATCAGTCAGCAAATCTTCAGGAAACCTCCTTCTTACCTTTGGTTCTGATTATATATTCAATCTCTGTTATAAACATGCAGATCTGATCTGGAAGCTGCTTTGACTGCAATCCTTGATAGTATATTTTCTTGGAAAAGCTCAGAAGGAGCAGGTTCACAGCGGAAAATTGTTGACATTTTTCTTAATGCTGCAACATTTTCAAAGAATGATGAAGGACTTGCTGAAAAAAGCATGTCTTTTGAGGATTTCAGAAGGTGGTGTACCCTTCTTCCATCTGTTAGGAAGTTCCTTGGAAGCTTATTGATGCCTTGTGATTCAGGTTTCTCCTCGCACATCTTTTCTTCAGTTTTTATTCATCTGTCAAACATTTTAAATTTTAAAATTATGTCTCACTAGATTATTCTAAAAGATTACTTGTTATTTGATAATGTCTTGTTTGTGTTTAAGATTAAGCTCAAGTTTTTGAATGGACGTGGCTAATAGGGAGATTTTAATTTGTCAATATTTTCCAATATCTCTTTACTTGATTAAGTCATTGACATCGCCATGTGCCCTCTGAATTAGTGTTGTACCAGAGCTTAGTCATAATAAATCATGATATAAGTCAACGCAAACCTAATTTGAAAAGTGAAAAAAGGGCTTTATTTTTTCATGGACTCAGATTTGATGAAGACATTGTCAAATTGGTGTTTGTTTTGTAAATAGAAAAGGTTCCAACATTATATTTAGTGGTCTCTCACCAAAATGTGATGTTGAATAGGTGTAACTGAAATGATATTTTAGTTGATTTAGTGATGCATTGTTATGTTGTACTGATGGCAATACTGGAGATGTCAAAAGGAGTGATCCACCTATCAGCACTGCATAGTGTAATACCACAACACACACTCGTTGACATTAACCACATGGGCTTGAGGAGAGCAAATATTCCTATAACATACTGACTCTTGTATTTCTAGATCTTTTACTTCCCTATTGTAGTAAGCACCAAGGTTGTCAAAATATATATCGGAAGGCGAATCGTTTTTTCAAAAACAGTATCGTGTTATCGTGTATCCTAAGATACGTGGTGTTATAATAGATATTAAAATATAAATATAACTATGACAAAATTTCATAATAACATTTTATTTCACTATAAATTTTTCACATAAAACAATTTAAAGAGACTACAAGGACCAAAACAAAAAATTAACAATCTAAGTCTTCAAGTTTGTAACATAATTCATCAATATCAAAATTTAGAGAGTTGTAGTTATAACATCTAAAGTAGCAAGTGACTACCACTTTTAACAATCAAACTATTTGCTCCTGCGATGAAACGAATAAAAAGAAGACTTTTATCTTTTAAAGCTATAGATGATGAAACGACATCGTTTCATTACTTAGTGTTTGAAAAAATTACTTCCGAGTTAAAAAGAATGATTTTCCGGTTAAAATTTAAAGAAAAAAAATTTGATTTGTTTCGCCCCATATTGGTCAACTCATAAGTATCGTCTTATATCATATCATGTACCGCACTATACGGTACAAACTAATAAGCGATACATATCGTTTTCTTCCTACTTCGAAACATATCATATGCATGGTTTGCGTATCGTACAATACTATCAACTATGAGTGTAGCACAATGTGGAGAACCACTCCTACAAGCTATCACATCGAAATTGTGGGTAGGGGCTGATTATGGTATGTTTCGTGGCTAAACGATTGCGAGCATATTGGTCAGTAGGATTTTTAAAAGATATAACAAGTGGGTAGCAATTTGGGATTGTAAACGACTAAGAAAAGAAGGAAGCTTGGCCTTCTTGAGATTGCTCTTGGTGCTGTGAGCAGTGCTTGGAGGCCCTGTACTCTTTGATCTTTTTTATGGTTTTGGGTAGCTAGGGTTTAAGTTTTGTGACAATGAATGATTGAAAGTATGTTAATAGGATTTCTAGCGTAAGAAAAGAATGATTTCCAGATCTAGTTTGAAGTATGGAGAAGAAGGGGGTTGGGGGTTGGGGGAGGGAGGTGGAAGAGGAGGAGAGAAGAACCATGCTTCACCCTCTCAAGGAATATGCAAAAGCACATAAACAGTTGAGCAAAACATCAATTTCTCAACTCTATTAATTATAAAACTCTAAACGTGAGTCAAATCTATCTGAGACTCCAGCTAGCGCCTAAATAACAGAGTATGACCCAAAGTATAAGGCCCATGTACTATGACTATAGCCTATGTCCTACAATAATTGGAAGGACCAGGACATATTTTGACTCCTAAAATGTTATGAAGCAAATAAATAGATCAAGTAACTTACTGACCCAATAGTAACTACAAAAAAATCTCAAGTTAACTTAAACAAGACGAGCAAGGTCCAAAATTGCACCATGCAAACAGATTTGCCCTTTTTCCACCTTCTTATGCTCTGCACCATATTGTTATATAAAGATTTTTAATCATATTTGTACATGTATGTGTCAACTAAGAAAATGCAACTTTGCCTATGTCATGAAGATGGAGATGTCCTTCCGTATAATTTCTTTTTGTAGGGAGGCCAGGGTCTCAGGTTCCTCGTCTACTGCATCAGAGAATCACTGATTCTAGTTCATTATTACTGAGGGAAGAATATGCTTGGCATATAGGAGGAGCCCTTTCCCAACAGGAACTGGATGAATGGAAACTCCTGTACCATAGTTCTGTTAATGGCCTAAGTTTCAATACATTCCTGGGCAGTGTATCGTAAGTTGCTCCCTTTGTTGTCTTTTCTGTTTACTTCGATTGTGGGACCAAACAATTCTCATCAGACTTTTTCTATTCCTTTTTCTTGTATTCAAACCGCATCCTTTTGTTGTTCATATAATTCTTTCTATTGAATTTCCTTGTTGATTTAACCCGACCATTGCTCCCGAGAAACGGTTTGAAGCTGGCTTTTGCTTATTGTTTGGCTTTTGTCAGTTTGTGATTGTGTATGTATGTGTATCATTGTCGGATTTTGTGTGTGTGAGTGTGTGTATTTATCCACACATGTTTGTGTGTAAATGTATATTTATCAGTGTGGGTGTGTGTTTTGGTATGTTTGTATGTATGTTTTGATGATGTATGTGTTTGTTTGTGTACTAGTGTGTGTTTTTGGTATCTTTGATACCTAGAAATCTTTGGTGTTTTTTATTGACAAATCTGCAAAATATCATTCCTATTCTTTAGGGAAAAAACATGCCAGATATTTATTAGAAACAAACAAAAATATTACCAAACATTTTTTTAAAGTTTTGTTTGGTTTTTTTGTTTTTTGTTTTTAATCATACAACAAATGGCAAAAGGGATATCAAAAGACCCTTAGCAACCTTTTTGGTTACAAAACGTAAGCCATTAATACTGTGAGTTTTGTGTAGTAGGGGTTCTCTCCTTAGAGTGCATAGCCATTTTTCCTTGTGGTGATGAGTACTTGATATTTTAAGAGACCATTTGAACATGAATATGGTGCCGATGCTATTGGTTCAAATTCCAATGTGGAGGCCATGTGCTTGTATCAAGCCTTTCATCTCATAATATATTTTTTAACTGGATGAGAACCTTCAACATTTAAGTAAGATTCAAAAGTAGGATTACCACCCCTACATGCTAATTTTGCTGGTTCTTGAGAAAACTTGCAAGTGCTCAAGTGCTTGACAGTTGTAGTGCTTTGACATTTTTTCCCTCTATATTCTNGTTTTTTTGTTTTTTGTTTTTAATCATACAACAAATGGCAAAAAGGATATCAAAAGACCCTTAGCAACCTTTTTGGTTACAAAACGTAAGCCATTAATACTGTGAGTTTTGTGTAGTAGGGATTCTCTCCTTAGAGTGCATAGCCATTTTTCCTTGTGGTGATGAGTACTTGATATTTTAAGAGACCATTTGAACATGAATATGGTGCCGATGCTATTGGTTCAAATTCCAATGTGGAGGCCATGTGCTTGTATCAAGCCTTTCATCTCATAAATTATTTTTTAACTGAATGAGAACCTTCAACATTTAAGTAAGATTCAAAAGTAGGATTACCACCCCTACATGCTAATTTTGCTGGTTCTTGAGAAAACTTGCAAGTGCTCAAGTGCTTGACAGTTGTAGTGCTTTGACATTTTTTCCCTCTATATTCTGGTCTTCTCCTTCCTCAAGCTTATGTGACCTTAATCAGCTGCACTAAGCTTTCTTTCACTGTCTACTATTGCTCATCAATATGTCTGATTATTTGATTGTCCTTTAGGTAAATTAAACAATTCCACATTGAGCATATTTGTGCTATATGTTGAATAACTTCCAAGCTGAACATATTTTCTTCCTTTTGTACTTTTTAAATACCATTTAGATTGCTTATTGTCAATGTTTGTCTTTACCATAGGCATTGTGACTTTTCACGAATTTTTTGTTTTCATTCATGAGCCTTTTTCTGCAAGGTTCTATTTCTAAGGCTCAAAATCTAGACCATTTAAGCCTTGTGCTATTGTGACAAACTTGCTGGACAGTTTGGTAGTGGCTGGTTCACTTGAGGCAGTGGTTGTTTGGATTATATGCTTAAGATTAGGGTCTCTCAATGAGGGCCTAAGTTTTCAATTGACTGCTTCTGGAAATCACTCCACAACTGCTATAGCACAGCTCCATGGAAGGCCCGAATGTTTTGCCTCTTTTCCTTTTCAAAAAATTTCTCCATCTGTTTTCCTTTGGTAGTAAATGCTAAAGACCTTTTATTTAATTTCTGTTTCTGATTGCTGCAGCTTTCTTTTAAGTAGAAGTTGGATGGGTTATTGTTTAATTGAACTGCAGAAATCACGAAGGGTCAACGGTGTTGATTATTAAGGATAAAGAAGGCTTTATATATGGAGGTTATGCATCTCAGCCTTGGGAGAGGCATGCCGATTTTTACGGGGATTTGAAGTCTTTTCTTTTTCAGCTATTCCCAGAGGCATCCATATTCCGGCCTACTGGAGCAAACAGTAATTTACAGTGGGTAAATATTTAAAACCTCTCTCATAGGAGTTAAGGATATGCTTTGAAGCTCATAAATGATAAGTCAATCCTACTGCCCTTGAAAATTAAAAGGTTCAACCATAAGAACCTTAAACTAAATTAAGTCCCTTTCTTTATAGGGACTTGTTATTTAATTGCATCTTAGAAACCGCCAATATCATGGAACAGGTTGATGTTTTTAGTGGGTACTCCGGGGTAGTAACTATAGAAACTTTAAAAGCATAGAGCTGTGCTTTGAGGAAAAATATTGATGGCAAACCAGCGCAACCCTCGGGTAAGTGAGGTGCTCACCTAGGCCCCCACTCCCCACTAGGTTTTGCTTACGTCATATTATGTATATGCCTCTCTATCAAATCTATCTTTTGACAGTCTACTAATTGTTATTTGACCTGTCAAGTAAGGATGAATAAGTGATCTTTCAGTAAAAAGTCACATTAGGTTCCCTTTTCCATATTCCAAATATCAAGGGCAACAGGTAATAAACCCAAATGTCAGGGTACATTGTTAAAATTTCCTTAAATGTATATATTGCAAAATTATTTCTCTTATTAAATATGTGTTCTGATTGCATTGAGAGCTAAAATCTTTGTTTGCAGTGTGCTGCGAACTTCAGTTCGGAGAGTATCCCAAATGGCATTGGTTTTGGAGGGCAGGTGAATCACTTCGGCTTGTTTCTGTCTGCAAACTTTGATCAGGGGCACACCTTCTCATGCACCACCTTCGGCAGTCCTTGCCTATCAAAGACCAACCACCTACACCCGGAAGTGATAGAATGCTGGGGAATTGTGAAGGGAGCACAAGAAGAAAGGCAAGATGGCGTCAAAGGCAGCGTACTAGAGAGATTTAAGGAGGACCGTCATATGCTTAACATGGTTGGGCTTGCAAATGCTAGTGATTAATCTGCTGATCCCATTGACACAAGGAAAAAGAAAAAACTAAGCCAATTCTGTATCAAATCAGCCTGCCCACTTCATGGGTTTGGACATACGATCACCCTTTTTCTTATGAAGACATCTTTCTATGGGGGATAATGTGGTTACAGGTATGTACGTAGTTCTAAATAGCTAGTCTGCAATGTTTTCACAGCTATATAGCCCAGAAATATTCGTTGCATGGTGTTCTCATGTTTATGGTATGTATGTAATTGAACCGGTAACTATTGAAGACTTTACACCCTGAGCGACATGTAAACCTGTTTCAAATGGACAAATTGACACTGCACGTCTCTTTTAGCACTTGTGTGTCATCCGCAGTTATGATCACCAATAATGGTAGAAATGTTGTAAAAATCGTTTTTTTTTTTACGCCTCTGGTATGTCTGGCGGGTCTTGGAATTAGGTTCACAGCCCGTTTGATACACCAATGTCTGCTTTTCTTTTTGGGTGTTTTTTTTGAAGTTGGGACAACTCTTTTAAATGCGCTTGGAGATAAAGCACTAATAAGGAGTTGGAAATATGGTCGTGGGGTAAAGAACAAGGGATCCATAATCTAACCCAAATAAGGTATCAATGAATAAAAGAAAATCTAGGAATCAAATGAATGGTTACTGGATAAAAATCATAAAAGTATCCTTGAACATAATTTCACAATAAGAAAAACGGATGAGACATGCATGAGCTAACACGACTGTTGAACAGAAACATTCAAATTGATTTCTTCATCCAGGAGGAGCTTTCACTACAAGTTAACAGCATATAATGTATTTCTTTTTTTTTTTTTTTTGGTTCAATGGTGAGGGTATTCGGGTTTATTTACATGTACCTCGACTAATTCTCTTCTAATCCGGTCAAAAATATGGTTCATGCTGGAATTAGAGTATTCATAAGAATAAATCCCTTATAACCCAACTCCAAAGAATCACCAAGATATGTGTTATTGAGCAAATTACAATAACACATTAAATAAGAAACACCATGAGCACAGTTGAGATTGGGTACTCAGGTCAGATTAATTCAATAATAGTCACCTGTTGGCATTCTAGTCTTCCTTTGCCTTTCAAGGTCTACCCAAAAAAGAATTTTAGTACTTCAAACTGATTGTTCACCGTTCAAAAATTCTTGTTTAGGTAATTTATGCCATTCATACATAGTATTTTGATATAAGATTTTAATTCTCCTGTATTTCAACAGTAACATATTGTTCCATGGAGCTAGAGTCTAAAATATGAAAGAAACATGCATTTCCACGACTCTACCAGCCAATTAATTATGTTCCACTTAATTCATGGCCACATATATTTCCAGCTAAAGAATGGAAAATCTTTCTCCTGTAAGTTCAGAATATTGTGCCCCGACCCTCAATCTATGCCCACATTCACCAAAAAATATCGCCTCAAAATGGTTGCACTTAACTAGGTCAATTGTTCTGTATTAAGAGTACAGTATACCCAAAAGAACTAGCATCATAATATCTGGAAAAACTAATAAAGAAACAGTAAAAAGCTTATGATATGAAAAGCAATGCATAAACACAACAGCAACATTAAGAACAAACAATCCCCTTCTCAAGTAACAAATTAGCACCCATCGAACTTTGTTTGGAAAACTGTTAGAAAATATAGAGCTTCCATTCTCGAACCAAAACTCAAAGCACTAACCAAAGCTCAATGTACTTAACAAAAGTAAACATAAAAATTGTACCAATATATTAAACCAGTGCACAGAAAGCAGTAAATCTCCATTGTGCTCCACGAAAACTTACTGCGACTCATGGATCACAATATCGAAAATTCCCAACAAATACCCAAAACTAGTTTTTTTTTGTGTGTGGAAGACAGAGGGAGGGGGGAATGAGTTTGAACCAGCAACCACTCGCAAGTGGGAGTGTGCCAGTCCCTCGCACCTCACAAAAACCCAAAACTAAACAAAACAAATCAGCCAAATTTTTGTCTTGTCTTCCAGAGAGAATGGGAATAATTTCATTCTCGCTACCTCTTCGCGCACAGTTTGCTCAAAGAATGTGCTAACCACCTCCTCAAATTCCTTGATATGGAAGTAGGGGTTTTCCCTATTCACACCATGGAATTGCAGAAGCAGAGCATTCCAGGTTTGAATATTAAATTTTGTGTTTGCACCGATAAAAATGTACCGGATGGTGCAAAGGAGCGAGTGGGAGTGTGCCAGTCCCATCGCACGTCACAAAACCCAAAACTAAACAAAACAAATCGGCATAAAAAATGTAATGAAGAAAACAATCCAGCAAACTCCAAATCAAACAACAAAAACTCCATTCTTAAACCAAAGTCAAAAGCACCCACAAACGTGAACAATGTAACTCTTCCAAACTTCTCATATAAATGATAATAGAAAATACCCATAGTAAACTGGAAAACCAACACAGTTCTCATGAAAGACAATAATGAATTATTGATAACATCACTTTACTCCCAACAATAACCAAAGCTCAAGAACACCCATCAAAGATCAAACCCAAAATTTCTCATAGCTAGGTAGAGGAAAATCAAAAGGAAAATGACGTTTACACCTAATTTGGGACCTAATCAATTCCAACTATTGGATTAAAGGTGGATTTCATCTACCGTTGGTACTCGTTAACTTACAACAATAATCTTCATTTTCAAGTGAAATGCCTGTCAGTTGTTGCATTAAAACAATATTACCTGAATTGTGGGTCACTTTGGTACATGATTTAAGTATGGATACGTTGTATCTATTTTTCTAGGTAGCTTAACTGATACAATATTTTGAACCACAATTTATCTTGAAACTTTTACCTAGATCATTTTCACCACAATATACGGCATTTCATATCACGTCCGTTCAAGCATTTCGTATCACATCCATAAGCACCAAGTCAATTATCATTTATATTATATTTGTGCTCGATTTTCTATTTATCTAAAACAATATATAATTATAAAATTTAAATACACTTGGTTAATTAATATATATTTTATATTTGTGCTAAATGTACAATTTGGAATTGTACTTTGGTGATCTGGATCACGGATCCCCCTCATTTGGAATCAATATATACAAATTTTGGGTCGTCAGGGGTTTAGTGAATTCTAGTAACTAAAAATTGATCTAACAAACTCGCAATTGAACTATAAAATCTCCAAACTAGGAACAAACAAAAATTAGCAACAAAGACAAAATCAGAACTTTTCCAACACACTCAAAATAAAACCATTGTTTGCACCAAACTCATAATTAGATAACAAACACTTATCCTTCATAGTTCTTCAACAAAACAAACGGTAACCATCCAAGATAGCACCTAAACAGTCTCATCAGGACCCAACACTAAAACAGAACCTATTTTAGTACCTGGTTCTAGCACCACCACCACCATACCCACCACGACCACCAAATGGCGGCGCCGACTGCACCATCATCGTCTGCTCTTCTTTAAGCACAATCCCAGGAATATCACTCATACCAAGAGAACCCAGAAGCTCAATTGTCTCCTTGTCGACCTCAATCCTCTCGGTCTTGATGGCTGACTCATCGGGCACAAAGTCCATGCGCCTCTCTCTCTCCTCCTCTTGTAGCTTGAGAGAGATCCCTCGGACTGGGCCCTTCTGGATTCGCTTCATCAGGTGGGTGGAGAACCCAGCAATCTTGTTGCGGAGGCGCTTGGAGGGTATGATGGCCACCTCTTCGAGGATCTTCTTGTTGGTGTGGAAGTCAAGCGTCATCTTGGAGTAGTATCGCTCGATCACTTGTCGTGAGGACTTCTTCACCGTCTTTGTACGGACGCGACCCATAGTTGGCGAGGACAGAGAAGTCTGTGTGTGTGTGTCGTCTGGGGAAGAAGGGCGCGGGGCGGCCTAGGGTTGCAGAGAGAGAAAGATGGTGGAAGCGAAAGCTAGGGTTTGCGGTGGAGCATTTATACCAAAGTTTCATAGCGCGAATTGCACTTTTTACCCCGAAAGATTTAAAGTTTTTTGTTGTGCTATCTCAAAAATTAAAATTTTATATTATACCGTTAATATATTAAAAGTGTTACAATATAAGTTTTTTGTTAGTTTTTTCGTTAGTATCAATGGATTAATATTTGACAGAAAAAATAACGAAAACTAACAGAGGGTTATATTATAATATTTTTAAAAATTTAAAACTTTTTAGAGTACAAAGTGTAAAAAAATACACTAAGAAAATTCTAATTAAATTTAAAATACTAATTTGATTTAATGAATTAATCATTGAATATGTTATTGGATACGCTTGTTCCACACCACCCTAAATATCATTTACATTCGATTTAACTCTTTAATGTCAAATTATTAAGTTTATTTTATCTATGTTAACCATATTAATAATTAGGATTAATAACATTTTTGGTCATTAAAGTTTATATTTTTTGTTGGTTTAGTCTTTAATGTATCAATTTTATCAATTTAGTTCCTAAAGTATTAAATTCACGTTATTTTGGTCTCTATATAAACGAACCGTTAAACTTTTTATAGAATGATCACGTGTTAAACACATGATACTTTCTAAAAAAATAACACTTAACCACTTTCATCAAAAAATTTAACGGTTTATCTATGTAGGGATCAAAATGATACGAATTGAATACTTTAAAAATAAAATTGATACATTAAAAACTAAATCAACAAAAAATACATATTTTAAAAATTAAAAATGTTATTAATCCCAATAACTAAGTCTATTCCTCTATACTCACCCATTAATAACTATATTCACCATATTTTCTCATCGCTCATTATATATTCTAAAGTTGGACAAAACCAATGGTTAGATAGACACTATTGTTCATGGCATTGCAATTAATCCAGTGAATCATCCTCGTGGGGGAGGTGAGAGGCGCACAAAAGTGGATAGACCTCCGGTGTCACCTTGGTGGAAGCCCAGCAAGGCTGGATTTCGGGCAGGGGGACTATAATATTGTGTTTGGTATGACAAAAAAAATATAAGGACAGAAAATTAGAATGCTGAAAAGTTGACTGAAAAAGAGGGAGGATAAGCCATATCTTCCTACCCAAGCAAGGGGCAGAGCTGCCCTCTGGCCCCCTTCCACTTTTGCCAACACCAGCAGGTATAATATTCAGTACAAAAATCTGAACATTGTCAAGAGAATGAACCCCATCTAGAAAATAGTTTCTGTGAATAGAATATAATGATCTTCAACTATAATAACAAAATGTGGAGTAATACTATTGAGATTTTAAAATTTAATATAATTAGTTGATTTAATGATGTGATTTCATTGTAACTGTTGAATTTAACACAAAGTTTTAACGTTTAATAGGGTTCATGGTCAATTCAAATACTGTAGTGAATTATGTCTTTTAATCATATCACGTCGAACATTGTACAAAGAAGGTTTTGCGATACGATAAGCAATGATTTTGTTGTAGACTCTTTAATTAGGTAGGTAGAAATTTTTTTAAAAAAATGCATTACGGATTAAATATACGACTAAGTTGATATGTACTCAAAATTATTTTTTATTCATTTTTTAATTTTTTTCCCATATCTTTATTTTATTTTTTTTATTACATATATTACTTTGTTGGATATATTTTTGTACATCAAGAATCTTAATTGATATACTATATATTTAGTTTACATTGGCAGTTGCATTAGATTTGTCCTCCCCACCCCCCAAAAAAAAAAAAAACAAAGAAGAAATTTCTGACTCTGCCTTGTACCCAGGATTTCTTCTTCATATCCAATTCCGCACACATTTGTGTTGTCCAATCATGGTTTTTACTATATTACTTTTGCCCCTCTATTTTTATTTTCATTATTATATTATTTAATTATTTATAAATAATTTCAATTGCATTTTGGTTGGAGGTGTAATTTAAATAAATCAACTCGAATTTAACCCAAATTACTCAATTTTTAGATAGCGATTTTCAATTCTCAAACCTCTTAATAAATTTTTTAAGTGAAATATATATTAGTATTATTTATGCACATGTAATGTATTTTAGGTTTTTTATATTCTAAATAGTAATTTTATATTCTATATATTAAGTTTTGTTTAATATTTATTACGAATGTTCCGGATATATAATATTATGTTTGTATATAAATTAATATTAGTACTTTTTAATTAATGGGTTGATTTTTAATTAATGTTTTTGTGCATAAATGGAATGGATTTAGTCACTATTGGGGTGATTAGAAATGGGGTGGACTTAATAGTTTAAAATTAAAAAGTTAAATGGTATGAGAAATGATATTTAAGGGATAGGAATAACCTCCCTCTATATTAATTAAAAAAAAAGATAAATATTTTTAGTAAATATTAAAGCACTCTATTTTCAATCTTTATTACCTAGGTATTGCAAATTTAAAGTTATTTATTGAATTATTATTATTATTTTTATAAAAATTTGATTGCAATTCATGCTCTTTCATCTAAAAGCATTTTGCAAAATGCAATTTTAATTAAAGGTCTTAAAAATGTATTTTGTAAACAATGAAAAACGTCGATTACATTTATACTTTTATGCAATAACAGTAATATGATAAATAAATTGTAGTTTTTTGAAATAATAGTAATATGATAAATATTAGATAATAAAATATAAAAATAATGATACAAATGAAAAAAAAATCTCAAAAAGGTTGTTCGGGAAAATGACAAAAAAATTGAGTAAAAGCGTGTTTAGTGTGCGGTGCGAGGGACCAACGTTTTTTTAAAAATATCGAAAACTTCTCAATCACGTTATTGTTAGACTTGTGATTATTCTGCCAATCATCTATAAATTAAACAAATATATATATATATATATATATATATATTAGATTGATTAGTCGCTGAAATTCAAAGTTGAAGTTATGTAATACTACTATTGATTTCTTACCATTTTCTAGTGGATTGTGGAGTGATAATGGTTAATCAATCTAGAATGTGTTTGCCATTGAAATGTAAGGATCGACTCCCTCATGTTTCATTTGAGAAATCCGGCATAAAGAAAAAAGGTGTCCAGTGGGGAGGGTTCATTTATTGGAATACCAAGAAAGGAATTCTTCAAACACAAGTTCAAGAAGAAAACAGTTTCTTCAAACCCTCTCTTAAGGCAATATTGGTTAGGTTATAACCCCCATCTATGACAAGGTTTTGCCCACTCATGTACTTGGATTCATCGCTTCCGAGGTATACCGCCGCCTCCGCCACATCGTCCGCCTCGACAATCGCCTCTTTCAAGTTTGCAATTTCACTCACAAATTCCACTACCTTTCCCTTCTCCATCCCACCTAGCCCTTCCATTAGCATTGGAGTAGCTACTCCAAAAGAAGAAATACTACTCCAAAAGGAGAAATACAATTCACTCTTATCCCATACTTCCCCCATTTCCACACACAAGTTCTTGGTAAGTCCCACAACAGCATGTTTTGAGGCTGTGTAGGCATGGGCGACATCACCATAAGTCACTGAAGCAACACTTGAGGTGAACAGAATGCTTCCTTTCTTTGCTGGAATCATCACTCTTGCTGCGTGTTTGGCGCACAGGAATGCACCAAACACATTAACGTCGAAAACCCTCTTGAAGTCATCGTATTCGGTTGTCAAAATGCTTGGATCTGGGTTACCTGTGATTAGGGGTGTCAATCATATCATTTAATGTCATGGCTTAGCGGCCCTCCTTAATTTTATCTTTCTTTTTATGACCGTAGCATGTGAAAGTGTTTGGTAATCACTATGAAAAGTCTAACTTCGGTTGAATAAGAGATTCAACACGGGACTATAGGATCACTATGGCCAATTTTTGTTTCTCGGCAACTAGTGGGTCTCACCGTCGGCCACTCCTTATCCACCCATTTCTTGAACAAGTCAAAAAATACAGAGAGTTATGGGTTGAATTTCAATGATCAGCTAAATCATTGGTACCACTTAGCTAGGCATGTGGACCATTTTCGGCTACATATGTTGTCAATAAAAGGATTTTCGGTAAAATGAATGATGATTTATCGGTGAATGCTTTGATAATTCTATTGAAAAGGAAACCGTTCAAAAAAGAAATCAATTATAGATAATCCTCGGGACATGAAATAATGTCTAGTCTTTTTTGAATAGGTGATGAATAATGTATCTTTTTTCTTTTGTTCCAATTCATTTATTATACTTTTCAAAAAAAAAAATAATTATTTATTATTGAATTTGAATGATGTTAGTTTTGATTATTATGTATATTTATTATATATTTACTAAAACTATAGCCAAAACTATATAATTTGGGAAACTTTTTTTATATAAAAATTTGGTTCCGCCTTTAATGGAATATGTAGTGTCCGTGTTGACNTATTTACTAAAACTATAGCCAAAACTATATAATTTGGGAAACTTTTTTTATATAAAAATTTGGTTCCGCCTTTAATGGAATATGTAGTGTCCGTGTTGACGGGTAAAATTGACACCCTTCCCTGTACTTCCAGCATTGCCGAACATTATGTCCTGCTTACCATGCTTGGCCATGGCAGTGTTTACGGCGTTTTCAACATCGGATTCACAGCTAACATCAGGATGGATATAGGAAACCACTTCATCATTGGCAATGTCTTCGCATATGGCTCGGCCAAGGTCGTCTTGTACATCGGCAAGAACGACCTTCGCGCCGTGTCGGATGAAAAGCCTAGCAGTGCTTTCACCAATGCCTCTGGCACCACCAGTTACCACCGCAAACCTTGCCTTCTAGCCTACAAACACAAACATACCGAAATATAAACCAAATTCATCGGTGATGGCCGGAGAAATGTTTGGCCTACCTTCTGGTGATCGGAGCTGACAAGGAGGAGCCAGTCATCATCTTCAGCTAATTGTTTCTGATGAATGGGAGACCTTACGAAATCCTCATACATATGTGTATCACTGTGTGTATAGAAATGTATAATATATGTTAGTGCCTGGTTGTAATCAAAATAAGGAAAACAGGTCAGAGGTGATGGCCAAGTCCAAAGGCTCAATTTATGTTANTATATGTTAGTGCCTGGTTGTAATCAAAATAAGGAAAACAGGTCAGAGGTGATGGCCAAGTCCAAAGGCTCAATTTATGTTATAAGTCCAGTTCAAGTTTATAGTCTGACTCCAAAAAATCCAGTGAATTCAGCCCAGTGTAGCCAATCCTGTCAAGCTCATCAGCTTTATCCGGTCAAGCTCATCAGTGTGGTCAGTCCGATCAAGCTCAGCAGCTAAGGGAGCAAGTAAGGTCATCCAAAGTCTTATCCTTACTGTCCTGGAGATGGTCAACACCCCCACCTCATCTTTTGACTGAATCTCATGAAGAGCATTGTAACTGCCTAACNACTGTCCTGGAGATGGTCAACACCCCCACCTCATCTTTTGACTGAATCTCATGAAGAGCATTGTAACTGCCTAACACGTTGAGAAGAGCTCGCCAGATCCAACAAACTAGCCAACTACTTACTAATATTTTGTCCAAATCTGTTAGGAGGACGACTATAAATTGTAAGCCCTATCAACACTTGAGGGGCAGATCATACTTTACCTGATTACGACTCTCTTCTCTCTCTCAAAGCTTGTACTTTTTGATCCTCACACCCTTAAGTTAATAAAATACCTGACAACCAAAGCCATTGAAGAGTTGACGTAGGTCGAGCTGACCGAACAACTATAAATTGTCTATGTCTCTCCATCCTCTGATATTATTTNAAGAAGGGCGCGGGGCGGCCTAGGGTTGCAGAGAGAGAAAGATGGTGGAAGCGAAAGCTAGGGTTTGCGGTGGAGCATTTATACCAAAGTTTCATAGCGCGAATTGCACTTTTTACCCCGAAAGATTTAAAGTTTTTTGTTGTGCTATCTCAAAAATTAAAATTTTATATTATACCGTTAATATATTAAAAGTGTTACAATATAAGTTTTTTGTTAGTTTTTTCGTTAGTATCAATGGATTAATATTTGACAGAAAAAATAACGAAAACTAACAGAGGGTTATATTATAATATTTTTAAAAATTTAAAACTTTTTAGAGTACAAAGTGTAAAAAAATACACTAAGAAAATTCTAATTAAATTTAAAATACTAATTTGATTTAATGAATTAATCATTGAATATGTTATTGGATACGCTTGTTCCACACCACCCTAAATATCATTTACATTCGATTTAACTCTTTAATGTCAAATTATTAAGTTTATTTTATCTATGTTAACCATATTAATAATTAGGATTAATAACATTTTTGGTCATTAAAGTTTATATTTTTTGTTGGTTTAGTCTTTAATGTATCAATTTTATCAATTTAGTTCCTAAAGTATTAAATTCACGTTATTTTGGTCTCTATATAAACGAACCGTTAAACTTTTTATAGAATGATCACGTGTTAAACACATGATACTTTCTAAAAAAATAACACTTAACCACTTTCATCAAAAAATTTAACGGTTTATCTATGTAGGGATCAAAATGATACGAATTGAATACTTTAAAAATAAAATTGATACATTAAAAACTAAATCAACAAAAAATACATATTTTAAAAATTAAAAATGTTATTAATCCCAATAACTAAGTCTATTCCTCTATACTCACCCATTAATAACTATATTCACCATATTTTCTCATCGCTCATTATATATTCTAAAGTTGGACAAAACCAATGGTTAGATAGACACTATTGTTCATGGCATTGCAATTAATCCAGTGAATCATCCTCGTGGGGGAGGTGAGAGGCGCACAAAAGTAGATAGGCCTCCGGTGTCACCTTGGTGGAAGCCCAGCAAGGCTGGATTTCGGGCAGGGGGACTATAATATTGTGTTTGGTATGACAAAAAAAATATAAGGACAGAAAATTAGAATAATAAAAAGTTAGACTGAAAAAGAGGGAGCATAAGCCATGTCTTCCTACCCAAGCAAGGGGCAGAGCTGCCCTCTGGCCCCCTTCCACTTTTGCCAACACCAGCAGGTATAATATTCCGTACAAAAATCTGAACATTGTCAAGAGAATGAACCCCATCTAGAAAATAGTTTCTGTGAATAGAATATAATGATCTTCAACTATAATAACAAAATGTGGAGTAATACTATTGAGATTTTAAAATTTAATATAATTAGTTGATTTAATGATGTGATTTCATTGTAACTGTTGAATTTAACACAAAATTTTAACGTTTAATAGGGTTCATGGTCAATTCAAATACTGTAGTGAATTATGTCTTTTAATCATATCACGTCGAACATTGTACAAAGAAGGTTTTGCGATACGATAAGCAATGATTTTGTTGTAGACTCTTTAATTAGGTAGGTAGAAATTTTTAAAAAAAAATGCATTACGGATTAAATATACGACTAAGTTGATATGTACTCAAAATTATTTTTTATTCATTCTTAATTTTTTTCCCATATCTTTATTTTATTTTTTTATTACATATATTACTTTGTTGGATATATTTTTGTACATCAAGAATCTTAATTGATATACTATATATTTAGTTTACATTGGCAGTTGCATTAGATTTGTCCTCCCCACCCCCCAAAAAAAAAAAAAAACCAAAGAAGAAATTTCTGACTCTGCCTTGTACCCAGGATTTCTTCTTCATATCCAATTCCGCACACATTTGGGTTGTCCAATCATGGTTTTTACTATATTACTTTTGCCCCTCTATTTTTATTTTCATTATTATATTATTTAATTATTTATAAATAATTTCAATTGCATTTTGGTTGGAGGTGTAATTTAAAGAGATCAACTCGAATTTAACCCAAAATTACTCAATTTTTATACAGTGATTTTCAATTCTCAAACCTCTTAATAAATTTTTTAAGTGAAATATATATTAGTATTATTTATGCACATGTAATGTATTTTAGGTTTTTTATATTCTAAATAGTAATTTTATATTCTATATATTAAGTTTTGTTTAATATTTATTACGAATGTTCCGGATATATAATATTATGTTTGTATATAAATTAATATTAGTACTTTTTAATTAATGGGTTGATTTTTAATTAATGTTTTTGTGCATAAATGGAATGGATTTAGTCACTATTGGGGTGATTAGAAATGGGGTGGACTTAATAGTTTAAAATTAAAAAGTTAAATGGTATGAGAAATGATATTTAAGGGATAGGAATAACCTCCCTCTATATTAATTAAAAAAAAGATAAATATTTTTAGTAAATATTAAAGCACTCTATTTTTAATCTTTATTACCTAGGTATTGCAAATTTAAAGTTATTTATTGAATTATTATTATTATTTTTATAAAAATTTGATTGCAATTCATGCTCTTTCATCTAAAAGCATTTTGCAAAATGCAATTTTAATTAAAGGTCTTAAAAATGTATTTTGTAAACAATGAAAAACGTCGATTACATTTATACTTTTATGCAATAACAGTAATATGATAAATAAATTGTAGTTTTTTGAAATAATAGTAATATGATAAATATTAGATAATAAAATATAAAAATAATGATACAAATGAAAAAAAAATCTCAAAAAGGTTGTTCGGGAAAATGACAAAAAAATTGAGTAAAAGCGTGTTTAGTGTGCGGTGCGAGGGACCAACGTTTTTTTAAAAATATCGAAAACTTCTCAATCACGTTATTGTTAGACTTGTGATTATTCTGCCAATCATCTATAAATTAAACAAATATATATATATATATATATATATTAGATTGATTAGTCGCTGAAATTCAAAGTTGAAGTTATGTAATACTACTATTGATTTCTTACCATTTTCTAGTGGATTGTGGAGTGATAATGGTTAATCAATCTAGAATGTGTTTGCCATTGAAATGTAAGGATCGACTCCCTCATGTTTCATTTGAGAAATCCGGCATAAAGAAAAAAGGTGTCCAGTGGGGAGGGTTCATTTATTGGAATACCAAGAAAGGAATTCTTCAAACACAAGTTCAAGAAGAAAACAGTTTCTTCAAACCCTCTCTTAAGGCAATATTGGTTAGGCTATAACCCCCATCTATGACAAGGTTTTGCCCACTCATGTACTTGGATTCATCGCTTCCGAGGTATACCGCCGCCTCCGCCACATCGTCCGCCTCGACAATCGCCTCTTTCAAGTTTGCAATTTCACTCACAAATTCCACTACCTTTCCCTTCTCCATCCCACCTAGCCCTTCCATTAGCATTGGAGTAGCTACTCCAAAAGAAGAAATACTACTCCAAAAGGAGAAATACAATTCACTCTTATCCCATACTTCCCCCATTTCCACACACAAGTTCTTGGTAAGTCCCACAACAGCATGTTTTGAGGCTGTGTAGGCATGGGCGACATCACCATAAGTCACTGAAGCAACACTTGAGGTGAACAGAATGCTTCCTTTCTTTGCTGGAATCATCACTCTTGCTGCGTNATGTTTTGAGGCTGTGTAGGCATGGGCGACATCACCATAAGTCACTGAAGCAACACTTGAGGTGAACAGAATGCTTCCTTTCTTTGCTGGAATCATCACTCTTGCTGCGTGTTTGGCGCACAGGAATGCACCAAACACATTAACGTCGAAAACCCTCTTGAAGTCATCGTATTCGGTTGTCAAAATGCTTGGATCTGGGTTACCTGTGATTAGGGGTGTCAATCATATCATTTAATGTCATGGCTTAGCGGCCCTCCTTAATTTTATCTTTCTTTTTATGACCGTAGCATGTGAAAGTGTTTGGTAATCACTATGAAAAGTCTAACTTCGGTTGAATAAGAGATTCAACACGGGACTATAGGATCACTATGGCCAATTTTTGTTTCTCGGCAACTAGTGGGTCTCACCGTCGGCCACTCCTTATCCACCCATTTCTTGAACAAGTCAAAAAATACAGAGAGTTATGGGTTGAATTTCAATGATCAGCTAAATCATTGGTACCACTTAGCTAGGCATGTGGACCATTTTCGGCTACATATGTTGTCAATAAAAGGATTTTCGGTAAAATGAATGATGATTTATCGGTGAATGCTTTGATAATTCTATTGAAAAGGAAACCGTTCAAAAAAGAAATCAATTATAGATAATCCTCGGGACATGAAATAATGTCTAGTCTTTTTTGAATAGGTGATGAATAATGTATCTTTTTTCTTTTGTTCCAATTCATTTATTATACTTTTCAAAAAAAAAAATAATTATTTATTATTGAATTTGAATGATGTTAGTTTTGATTATTATGTATATTTATTATATATTTACTAAAACTATAGCCAAAACTATATAATTTGGGAAACTTTTTTTATATAAAAATTTGGTTCCGCCTTTAATGGAATATGTAGTGTCCGTGTTGACGGGTAAAATTGACACCCTTCCCTGTACTTCCAGCATTGCCGAACATTATGTCCTGCTTACCATGCTTGGCCATGGCAGTGTTTACGGCGTTTTCAACATCGGATTCACAGCTAACATCACGATGGATATAGGAAACCACTTCATCATTGGCAATGTCTTCGCATATGGCTCGGCCAAGGTCGTCTTGTACATCGGCAAGAACGACCTTCGCGCCGTGTCGGATGAAAAGCCTAGCAGTGCTTTCACCAATGCCTCTGGCACCACCAGTTACCACCGCAAACCTTGCCTTCTAGCCTACAAACACAAACATACCGAAATATAAACCAAATTCATCGGTGATGGCCGGAGAAATGTTTGGCCTACCTTCTGGTGATCGGAGCTGACAAGGAGGAGCCAGTCATCATCTTCAGCTAATTGTTTCTGATGAATGGGAGACCTTACGAAATCCTCATACATATGTGTATCACTGTGTGTATAGAAATGTATAATATATGTTAGTGCCTGGTTGTAATCAAAATAAGGAAAACAGGTCAGAGGTGATGGCCCAAGTCCAAAGGCTCAATTTATGTTATAAGTCTAGTTCAAGTTTATAGTCTGACTCCAAAAAATTCAGTGAATTCAGCCCAGTGTAGCCAATCCTGTCAAGCTCATCAGCTTTACTCGGTCAAGCTCATCAGTGTGGTCAGTCCGGTCAAGCTCAGCAGCTCAAGGAGCTAAGGGAGCAAGTAAGGTCATCCAAAGTCTTATCCTTACTGTCCTGGAGATGGTCAACACCCTCACCTCATCTTTTGACTGAATCTCATGAAGAGCATTGTAACTGCCTAACACGTTGACAACAGCTCGCCAGATCCAACAAACTAGCCAACTACTTACTAATATTTTGTCCAAATCTGTTAGGAGGACGACTATAAATTGTAAACACTACCAACACTTGAGTGGCAGATCATACTTTACCTGATTACGACTCTCTTCTCTCTTTCAAAGCTTGTACTCTTTGATCCTCACACCCTTGAGTTAATAAAATACCTGACAACCAAAGCTATTGAAGAGTTGACGTAGGCCGAGCTGACCGAACAACTATAAATTGTCTATGTCTCTCCATCCTCTGATATTATTTTCTTGCATTTATTATTCACACTTGACAGGTGGTGTGCAAAACTATTTTGTGCATCATCAGTTTGACGCCGTCTGTGAAAAAGACTAAATTCTCAGTTTTAAACACTCCATTTGTTGAACCTATGACGATCACCACTAGATCCATGAATCAACCTGAGGATAATCCACAACGAGAGGAGGAGGTTGCTCCTCCACCTATCAACCCTGTCCCAGATGCTCCAGTTCCAAATTCTCAGCAAATGTTGGAGATTATGCAGCAGCTAGTGGCCCAAAACCAACAAATCTTGCAACTCATGCTCGCTGGACATCTACGAGCTGCACGCCCTGAGTATCAAGGAGCTCCGCGCCCTGGACATTAAGGAGTTGCACGCCCTGGACATCAAGAAGCTCCACGCCTTGGACATTAAGGAGCTCCACAACTTGCTGCTCCCCATTTGGGCACCCATGCAGGTCTGGGCGCCCCCTTTGAAGTCTCTTTGGGCGCCCCACACAGGGGAGCCCTTCATGAGAGACCTCCAACTCCTTTTATTTTCCATGGTGAAGACCCTTATCTCCAAGAAGATGATGACGAAAACCAAAGTATGGAGCATGAGAGTCATTTTCATGATCATTCCAGAGGAGCCCCCAATCACTGGGACGAGAAAATTAAGAAAGTATAAAATCAATTGGGTGACGTCTTCAACGCTATGAAGGTGCAGGAACCCGAGACAGTGGACTACCTTGTAAGACGGACAGACACGCCTTTGAAACCTAACGTGGCGAACTACCCCTCCCTCAAAAGTTCAAAATACCATTCGTAGAGACTTTTGACGGAACAAAAAATCCACTAAACCACCTCGACACCTACAAGACTCTGATGCAGCTGCACAACGTCCGAGACGAAATCATGTGCAAGGCATTTCAAACCACGTTGAAGGGGTTCGCACGACAATGGTTCGATAAGCTCCCCCCAGCCTCCATCGCCTCCTTTGCTGAGTTGAACAGGTCATTCGTATCGCATTTTATTAGGGGGCGTTGCCACCAGAAGCCTATCACCCATCTGCTTAGCAAAAAGCAGGATCGAGAGGAGAGCCTGAGGAGCTACCTCACTCGTTTTAACGAAGAGGTACTCCAAGTTGATGAGCCTGACGATAAAGTAACGATGACTCCCTTCTTGGGAGGCCTACGCTCATCCAGATTCCTTTTTTCAGTAATGAAGCGACCACCAAAGAGCATGTCAGAACTATTGGCAAATGCTCAAAAATATATGAATGCTAAGGAAATCAACAGGTCTAGGTAAGGTGAATCATCTTGCAGATCACCAGAAGCTTGACCTGCCTCTGCACTATTCTCAAACAGACAACCTCAGTATCAAGCTTAACGACTCTCTCACGGGTAGCCAAAAGCTTGACCTCTGCACTGTTCTTAAACAGGCAGCCTTAATATCAAGCTTAGCAACTCTCTTGTGGGTCGCCAAAAGATTGGCCTCTGCACTATTCTCAAATAGACAGCCTCAATATCAAGCTTAGCGACTCTCTCGCGCCAAAAGATTAGCTTCTGCACTGTTCTTAAATAGGCAGTCTCAATATCCAGCTTAGTAACTTTCTCGCGGGTCGCCAAAAGCTTGACTTCTACATTGTTCTTAAACAGGCAACCTATATCTCCAGCTGAACGGCTCTTTCACGGGTCGCCAAAAGCTTGACCTCTGCGCTGTTCTCAAATAGGCAGTCTATACCTCAAGCTTAAAGACTCTCTCATGGGTCGTCAAAAGCTAGGTCTCAAAAGGTGTAGCTCTCTCACGAGCAATTCTCCAACTCTGTTTTTTCTCTCGCGCAAGCAACCTACCTCTCCCTACAGATAATTATGTGCGATATTTTAATGTTTGGAATAACATTTTTTTTGTCATCACAACTAGGCTCACCCAAGGCACCCAAACGAGGCAGCCAAGCAGCAGTGCTTGACGCTCTATGCTCCCCCAAACAAGGCAGCCCAACACCTAGAAGGGTGCCTGACATTCTATGCTCGCCCAAATGAGGTAGCCTAGTACTTGGAGAGGTGTCTGACCACCTTTGCTCGCCCAAACGGGGCAGTTCAACGCTGTCTGGCCCTCCAAAGTTGCACAAAACAGTTCCAAAGGAACCCAGATCAGCGCCTGAAGTGGCAACTCCATCTCCTGATGCCCAGATATCCCAGGCTGCACCTCTATCTCCTGATGCCCAGGCATCCCAGGCTAAACCTCTATCTCCTGATGCCCAGACATCTCAGGCTGCACCTCCATCACCTGATGCTCAGGCATCCCAGGCTGCACCTCCAGCTTCTGATGCCTAGGATCGCGCCCAGACAACCCCTGCTGGCGCCCAAGTTGCACTTCCAGGTCACCCAAGGCAGCCCCAGGCTCACCCAGAACATTACTTGCTCGCCTAATTTTCTGCTCGAAATTTTGATCGTAATTTCTGTTATGTTACTCCAAATGAGGCTTATAATATATCAAATTGAAGCTTTCAGCAAGCCCTACAAGACATCTAGCCTTTGGCTGTGATTGATTCTATAAAAAGTTCAAAAAAGACTTGGAAACAGATGTTTTGGCCTCCTAAATTTTTTTCGATTGTGCCGATCAGCCAAAAATTCAAACTTAATTGAATGCCCTCCTTTTCAAGTTCCATTGGACACAGGGCATTAGGGGACAAATGATGGGCCAAGCACAAAGGCCCAACTCATGTTACAAGCCCAGTTCAAGTTTATAGTCTGACTCCAAGAAATCCAACGAATCCAATCCAGTGTGGCCAACCCTGCCAAGCTCATCAGCTCTACCTGGTCAAACTCATCAGTGTGGTTAGCTCGGTCAAGCTCAGCAGCTCAAGGAGCTAAGGGAGCAAGTAAGGTCATCCAAAGCCTTATCCTCGCTGCCCTAGAGATGGTCAACACCCCACCTCATTTTTTGACCGAATCTCATGAAGAGCACCGTAACTGCCTAGCACGTTGAGAAGAGCTCGCTAGATCCAACAAACTAGCCAACTACTTACTAATATCTTGTCCAAATCTGTTAGGAGGGCGACTATAAATTGTAAATCCCACAAACACTTGGGGGGCAGATCATACTTTACTTGAGCACGACTTTTTCCTCTCCCTCAAAGCTTGTACTATCTGCTCCCCACACCCTTGAGTTAATAAAATACCTAGCAACCAGAGCCATTGAAGAGTGGACGTAGGTCGAGCTGACCGAACCACTATAAATTGTTTGTGTCTCTCCATCTTCTAATATTATTTTCTTGTATTTATTATTCACATTTGACAAGTGGTGTGCAAAACTATTTTATGCATCATCAAGATGTATTAGTTTACTCTATCCTATCCCCCTAATACTCTTCTTGTCCGCAAAACAAACGCACCAGTATCAAGGGGATTAGAATCTGTGGGTAATGGCACATTATCTAAAAGATTAGTTTTTCACAAGCTAATTTAAAATGTTATAAGGTAATTTCATGTGGGGGAGACGTTGCTGTCAAGGTATGCAACTTGATGAGTTCTTTAAATGGAAGACTGCAAGTTGTGCCCATGTTCTAGCTACCAACTACTTGTGCATAATGAAACACACTAATTTAAAATCATGGAAAAATGACAAGACGGAATCTACCTACAACCTAGACAACAGACAGAACAGAAAAAAACATGTCATATATGTATATATATATTTTTGGTTACAATGTGTTTAGATTTGTGTTGACTACTCTCCTGAATTTTGAATCAATCAGGGTAACTCGAGCTAGGTTAAAAACATGTATCCTAAAGAATAAGGCCGACTAATCCTTCAAGAGTGTAAGAAGTATTGAATCTAAGACTTCTTACTTAGAAGAGGACAAAATTGACAATTAAATCACCTTTAAAAGACTATCGATCGCTGCTTGATTTCTGAATTGGAATCTTTAGGTAAGTCCTGATGACCCTAGTGTGGGAGATGCCAACAATTTTGTCCTTTGTTTGTGACCACCCGATTCAATCATGTGCATTACACTTTCATTCGATTTTATTTAATTACTAGTTATTGCCTGTGCCTGAAGACACAGAGTAATTAAAAATGATAAATAATAAACATATTTATATTTATATTCAAAATCAAATCACAGACATAGAGAAGAGAGATAAATGAATTTAAACGTTGGTTGTAATGGGAGTGAGAGGTGGTGGGCGGCAATGGTGGGGATAAGAGACGGTGATGGTTGTGATGGGGGGCAATGACCGTGGTGGCAGTGGCGGCGGCAGTGGCGACAACAGTGGCAGCGACGACAGCGATGATAGTGGCGACGGTGGTGGTGGTGGCGGCGATGGCAATGGCGATAACGGTGATGGTAGTGGGGATGACG